AATATTTAAATTATTTGGTTTTTATGCTAAATTAATGATTATTATATTTAATAAATGTAATTCTAAAATATGTAAATTAAATATACAATTTTTATATGAATTTATTTATATTTAAAATATGTCATTATATATATATATATATAAATGTACATATATAATTTATTTCATAATATTTATTTTATATATTACTTTAATAAAATACTTTAAATATAATTGTCTATTTTATAATTTTGCAAGTTTACATGAATGAGAATTTTCTTGGTTGGGAAAGAAAACAAACGAAGACAATCCTATGCCTTGAAACGTGACTAAGTTGGAAACAACATCCACACTCCAATTACCCCTAGGAAAAACCGCAGAGATAACAACTGTAAAGGGACCTAGAATAGCAGGTAGATCCATCTATCTTGTGATATATTTAATTTTAAACAGAGAAAAATAAGAAGTGAGAACAATTATCAAATAAATATAATTAATTAAATAGAAGTACAAAATTATTTATAATCAACAGTAAATATATAATTATATACACACACAAGCATATATACATACATATATATATATATATATATATGAAAAGAATAATGTAGTTTTGTACTAAAATAAACTTTTAATCAAATGTACGTATAAGTAAATCATATAATTCATATACTATCAGAGTAAAATACACTCGAAGTTGTCGAACTCATTTTCCCTTTCTGTCACGTTTTGATTAAAAATTAAATAAATTTGTAATATTAAAATAGAAATATAAAGATAAGCACTGGCATGACGCAAGTAGGGATGGCAATGGGCCCATGGGGGCGGGTAATAGTGAATTCGTCCCCGTCTCGCTAGATGAAAATTATCTCCATACTTACCCCATATCCACGGGTATCCATTGAGCGAGTATCCATGAATTTCTTGAATACTCACGGATATCCATGGATATTTATAAATTTTTTAAGAAATTAAAAAAATTATATTACAAATAATTTTAAGTCTATATTTAATGTCATTGAAATATTAAAAATAAAAATTCAATGTTAATTTTGAACTTGTATTTAACGTTAATTTTGTTGAAATAATAATAAAAATGTAAGATAATCAATGAGTTAAAATACATCAATCTCACAAGTAAGTTAAAGTCTCATCACAAAGCTACAATAATTCAATTTCATAATTAATTCCAAACGAAAGTAAACAACTTAAAATACATAAATTTTATTGGTCTAATAAAAGTTAGAAAATTAATCAAATTATATCCAACATAATTCTACAACATGCTTAACACATGTTGGTAACTTCATCAATCTCACTTTTGTAAGAAAATAAGACGAGAGAGTGTACCTTTAGAGTTATGTGGTACAAGAATAATTAGGATATTTAAGAAATATTATTAAACGGGTACCCGCGGGCAGGGACGGATTCACTTGTGAGAGAGTGGGGGCACTTGCCCCCACTACTATTTGACACATATATAATTTTTTTATTTAAAAAAATAATATATTTTAAAAAATAAAAATTATATGTTTAAATTATCATATGTATAAAATATAGATTCGGAGAAACTGTTTATTTATTTGATGTCTATCAAACTTTTAAAGGAGATTAATTCTTAGCTTAAATATGTTTTTAGTCCCTCAAATTTAAGATAAATTTGTTTTTGGTCCCTCAAATTTAAAACTATTATTTTTAGTCCCTGTAATTTTCAAAAATCTTGTTTTAGTCCATTAGGTCACCACTAAAAATATATATTAGATATTAAAAACATGTTTATATCATAAATAAATTAAACTTGATTTTTATAAAATTTAACATATTTATTTTTATATTTTGAATAGTATTAAATTATTATAAAAATAGGTATTTAGGATTGTACCCAAACATTTAAAAAATGTCTGATAGATAAATAAGTCATGCTTAGGATATATATATTTTTAAAGAAAGTTAGGTTCAAACTTACTAAATTATAATAAAATCTAGTCTGACCTAATTTATTTTCATCTTTAATTGTAATCCTAGATATAAAAACTTGTAAAAAATAATTATGATATATATTTATGTCTATAAAAATTATACATAAAATTTTTAATACTATAATATATAAATAAATATTGCCCCCACTATCTAAAATTTCTGGATCCGTCACTGCCCGCGAGTATGGATATCATCACAAGTAAGTTAAAGTCTCATCACAAAGCTACAATAATTCAATCTCATAATTAATTCCAAACAAAAGTAAACAACTTAAAATAAATAAATTTTATTGGTCCAATCAAATCTAGAAAATTAATCAAATTATAGCCAACATAATTCTATAACATGCTTAATACATGTTGGTAACTTCATCAACCTCACTTTTGTAAGAAAATAAGACGAGAGAGTGTACCTTTAGGGTTATGTGGTACAAGAATAATTAGGATACTTCAGAAATATTATTAAACGGGTACCCGCAGGTATAGATATCATCATACCCGCCCCGCCCCATTTATAAACGGGTAAAAAATAATCCGTCCTCATTATTCGCGGGTACCCAATTAGTCTATCCATTTATTATCCGTAACGAATTTTGCCTGCAAGTACATGTATTTTTGTCATCCCTATACACAAGTGTATACTTAGTCTTGATTAATTAGTGAACACCTCATCACTGTCACTAGAATCATGGCTAGGCAAATACTTTACTTACATGTGTTTTAATTGTTTCTTCAAATTTCTCGTGGAATTCAGCAAACATCTCATTTTTTACGATTAAATTTATTTATTTTATACTCTTTCTGATTCTTTAAATAAAAAAATATATAATTAATTCATAAACTAATAATAAATAGTTAAGGTAATTAATTTTTATTAATATTATAAAATTAAAATTAAGAATGTTAATCAGTTGAACCACTAGACTTAGCTTAGTAGTTAAGTGGGGAGGAATTGAAATAGTTAGAAACATGAAGATCTATATTAAATCCTTATTATAATTATCTTTATAATTTTTCTATTTATATATATATATATATATAATAACACCGATGTAACTTTTACTAAATATTATATCGTTCAATAACTTTATATTAAATGTAAATTTTATAAATTCAATCATTAGATTGAAAGTTCATATCACTTTATAAGTGTATATCAAATTTTCTTAAAATTGAACAAGAACTTGAAGGTAATCAAAGTGTTCATATTTTAGTATATTTTGATATGTATATATTACGTCAATTTTATTTTATAAGAATGAAGTATCAAATTATCTTGGATTAATATAAAATTTTATATATATGATCTAAAAGTAAAGAACTTTCAATCTAACGGTTAAATTTATAAAATTAACATTTAATATAAAGTTATATATTGAGTGGTGTTTTAGTTTTAAGATTATTATACCCTTAACCACCTACTCAATAGAACTTGAGATTTTATCTTCCAAAATTCTTTGTTCATACGTTGATTTCATAGTAAAAGGCATATGTTTTCTGGAAAATTACTTTTTTTTTTTTACTTTTTAGCATTTTTTTATTCGAGTGTTTCTAGCATTATTTTTAGTCAAGTGTCATACTTTAATTTGATATTATTTTATTTTTATCATCTAGCGATGAAACTTATTTGAAAAGTGAACTATTTTTTCTTTTCTTTTCTTTTTTTTAATATTTGATTGTTTGTGTAACATGATCTTAAAATTTACCTGTTCTGATATGATTAAAAAGTTTCAAATTGCTCGATTAAAAAGTTTCAAATTGCTCGAGGTTGTAGTTTATAAATACTTTTCTTCCTTAATCCACCAAGGTGCATTTTTAAGGACAAAATTGTAATGATCCAACAACGTTAAAATGGATAATATCTCATATACGATAATTCTAATGGGAAATTATGGTTGGAACATTGGTGTTAGAAGGAGGACCTAGGCTATTCTTGTCCCTTAACATCGAGTGGAGAACTTGTTTCGATAATGCCTAAAAAATCCCACATTATTTTGGAGTCGATGTTAAAGGTAGTTTATAAACATCCTCTTTCCTTAATCCACTATAGACTTATGGTAGGAGCATTAACGTTAGAAGAAGGGCTTAGGTCATTCTTACCCCTTAGTATCGACTAAGGGGCTTGTTCCGATATGTCTAAAATGTCTTACATTACTTAAGAGTTAAGACTAAATTTAATTTATAAACACCCTCCTTCCTTAATCGTAATGACTAAATAAACATTAAAGTAAATAATACCTCAGATACGGTAATTCTAATGATGACAGCAAACTTACTGTTGAAATATTACCTGATGTGTTTGATTGTCTAGATTATTATTTGGGAAAATATTCTACTTTGAAATAATTTGTTTTCCGTTGTTGATGAAGTATTGGTTGGCCACAAGAATCTCATAATATTCCAGTGTATTAATATTAGAGGTATTACCGCCCCAAAATTGATATGATTTACTATTGTTTCTATTGTAGTGTGGATAATGGAAAGTTACAGCTTATAGATTCGCAATACATTAATTAGGTGGGTGGACACGTTTGTTAAAAAAGGAAAGATAAATAAAAAGTCAAATGTTGCGGTGTGATGGGTAATTTTGTTATTTAAGCACAATAGAATGACTAGTAATAATGGTAAACTTTTAAAATTTATTTAATGGTGTAATTAACTTACTGTTTTTGTCAATTATGATATGTATTTAATGTTCGTTAAGAACTCGTTAGCATGACCCACATTTTTAAAAGTTATTTAATGATGTAATCAATCTACTATTTTTGTTAGTTTTAAAATACATTTAATGTTTTTAACAAGTGCCCTTAACCACCGGTTAGCATTACTTAATTAACTAATATTTCAATAATATTCTTTAAATTGAATCGTTTAAATAATAATTTAATTTAATAACACTAGTACTATACCTAATTCAACACAACATTTTTGACAAATAAATTTAACTTGTATTTGGATGATGATTATAAGGCATCAACAATTTATATATCTTTAAAAAAATGTGTAGTTATTTATTTCTTATATAAAGAACCATAGAGAATATCAAATATTACATCAATCAATTTTTTTCTTCTTCTTTATCTTTCTCACTCTAATTTTTTTCTTCTTCTTTATCTTTCTCACTCTAGCCCAATCCATTTTGAGGTGATCGTCATCATTAATCATTCAGCTATGACATCAATGGTGGCACCCATCAACATTGGGCTACAATCTCCAGGAAATTGGTGCAATGCGAAGAAGAAGATTTTAGAGAAGGCGAATCCAAGGCTTAATTCCTCATGCAACACTAACGCAAGATTGAATGATAAACGAAGATCTTCGTCGTTGATGACTGCAAGTTCTAATAGTAGTCCTGGGGTAATGGAAAATGTGTCTTTGGCTCATCTTACAACAGACAAGTCGCCAAATGAAAGCCCATTTCGTGGAAAGATTGTGCAGGACAGGCATGTCTATAAGCAGATTTTCCTTGTCGGGTGTTACCAAATTGGACCAGATAAAACTATCACCATGGAGACACTCATGAATTTTCTCCAGGTTAGCTAAAAGATGTATATGTGTACTGTTTCATTGAGGTTTTAATTGTAGTTATATCTTTTCATTTGAAGTATTTATTGAAAAATAAATATTAAAATACAATACAATTTCGACCCCATAACACATACATTTTTTTTTTTTCAATTTTTAAAATGAGAGTTACTATGATACTCTTGTAAATCAAAGTGTTTTCATACAACTAATTTTTTAAATCAATAAAAATGACATAAAGTATAAATTATTTTTCTTTTCACTTTTACTTTTTTTCCTCTACATCTAAGTGACGTATTCTTTACAAATAAATAATCTAAGTAATTAACTTACTTTTTTTTTCACCAAACATTGACTCAAGTATTTCAAATCATTTTGTAGAAATCAAAATAACTTTGAAAAAAATACAATAAGATTCTATTTGTTGAAGTAGAGGGAGATTTTGTGAATTTTTTGTTCAACCTATTCCTCATAATTTGTACACAAGTGTGAAGAATCTCAATTCATCATAATTCATAATATATAAAAAAAAATATATCTTTACTAAATCCAAACGTATCATATATTTATATCTATATATATATATATATATTAAGAATTTTACTATATATATATATAATGAAAAAAATAAACATCCTAAAAATTAAATAATTTAAAATCAATTGTTCATGATTTTTTTTTTAAAAAAAATAGTTCCAAAACTCTTTTAAATATATAAGGATATAGTAGAATTTATCTTTTTAAATATATAATAATATTATAACTATCTTGTTGGAAGCCTTATTTGAAGATTATGTTACAAGAAAATATAAACTATCATTAAAATATAAACTATCATTAAAATTTAAAAATTTGAAGTAAATGTCCTTTTAACATTTATTCACAAATAATCTATCAGTTATATAATAACAACTTTATAAATTTTACTTATAAAAACAGTTGTACATATAAGTACGTGAGCTTTATCTAAATTAAAATACTTATAGGTAGAAGTAAGTTTTTGTTTTATAATCATCATATCTTTAAGAATAAAACATGTGTAGATATATGAAACTTTATTTACAAGAATGTTAGGAATTAAAATCAAAATATATTATTCTATATACTATATATTAATGAAGGGTTGTAGCTCAATTGATTGAGAATGGTATGAGTGTTGTAAAACCTCATATTACCGTGTTCGATTGTCATTGATAAAAAAAAAAAAGTGAAATTCAAACAAGATATTAAATATATATTATTAAGAAATATATTCAAATTTGTAAGAATGATAATGATAATACTAAAATTTATAAAAATTATAATAATTGCTTAAGAAAATTTTCAATAATATTTAAAACATTTAGCATGCATATACTTTAAGTTAATATATTATTTATAAATAACTTTTCAAAAATTATTGCTAAAAATATTGAAAAAAAATATATATCTAGTTTATGTATCTTAAAATATAGAAAAATAAATATTAAAACTTTAAGTGTCTTTTAAATTTTATGTATTTTTAAAGAAAAGGAAATATAGGAAGAGAAAAATAGTACTTTAGTCTATATATGCATTGTATAAAATAAATATTTAATTGTATAAATCAATTTCATAGTAAATAAATATTTTTGAATATATAAAAATAATTACATAATTATTAAAAATTATAATAAATAAATATCTTTATTTTATATATGTATATATTAATAAATAAAATTTATACTACACCACGTTTTGTGTTTATAAATAACAAGTTAAATTATGGTATCAAATTATTTTTAATTATTGAAAATTTCTTTGAAAAAATATTAAAAATTAATTTAGAGCTGAAAACAAAAGTTGATACATTGAAAGAGATAAACAACTAATAAAAATAAGTATATAGGCAAAGATAAACAAAAGATAATTTTGATATTTTGAGAGGGAAAAAAAGCTATTTTTAAAAGCATCAAATCTATATTTATATATGAAGGTTATTTTATATTTTCGTGTATATATTATTCTTTTTTATATAATTTTAATCTTTTAAAAGAAAAAAATACAACAATTATTAATAAAGGTCACAAAAATATTTTGTGATACAAGTTTTATTTTTAAAACCATTACTAAATAATACTAATAACTGCACACTATTTCCTCTGAAATAATGTGTATTTAAGATGCACACGAAATTCCATTTTTTTCCCACTAAGGAAGAGAATGAAAGTCCCACACTGATAAACTTATTTTTTTCCACTAATTAATAATAACTACACACTAATTGATAAAAAAAAACTACAATTACATACTATTCCATTTTTTTTTCTATATTATATACGTTAATTAATAATAATGGAGTGAATTAAATATATTGAATAATTTAATAAAAAAGAAACAGAGTTTTTTTGAAGTATTTGAAAATTAAATAAAAATTTAATGATTATAATAATGAATGGTCTTAAGAAATTTAAGAAATATTAATATTAAGATTTAAATTAACTTATTAATTATAAGAAATATTAAGTGGATCCCCTCCTTAATAAAATATTGATCAAAATATTATGTTGCTGCATGTTGATGCTTAATTAACATAAAACAGTGACTTCTATTTGATATTAAGAAATGTAAAACTAAGAAAAAGTTTTAATAATAAGTTTTAAATCATGGATTTAATACTTATTAAATATTATTATTCAATATTTCATCTATTCTTTATTATAAGTAAAATATATTTTTTTTTCTTAAATATAAACAAATTTAACTATTTTTATATTATTTAGTGATATTTTTTCTTTAATGTATGACATTTCAATCATACTATTTCTTTTAATATTTATAACTTGAACAATTTAACAAGAATCTTATAAAAACAGTAAAATGTAATGTAAATAATCACTTTTTTAATATTATAAAATCAATTATCTTTACTTATAATAGAGAATAGAGGATATCAATATGGAATATGATAAAAAATTTCGTAATATTAATATGGCTAGATTTAGTGCGATTTTCTTTTCCAACATGTTATTTGTATATAAGACTCTGAACTTAAAACCTAACTTAACGAATCCAAACCTAATTCTACATGCAATACCAATGTCATTAAATAATGAGAAATTATGGTACCTATCTTATTAAACTATAATAGTTGTAACATGTTCAAAAGTAATAACACAAAATATCATCGCACCTGAAACACGTGATAAATAGAGTATTGATGAACCTGCATATAAAATGGTTCAGGAAACTGCTATAAGGCATATCTGCTTCATTTCCGCCCCAGTTCAGAATGATGTTGGAGCAACTCACGAAATGGAGCTTCGCAAACTCACTTGGATTGTTACTCGTATTCAAGTTCAAGTACAGAGATATAGCAAACGGTACCTTCACCTGCCACTTATACTACTTTTATAGTACATATAATTTTAATACGATTAGAATTTTAAGGAATACATTATACATTATGGTTTGATTAAAGTCAAAAACATAAATACAACAGGGGAGATGAAATTGAGGTTGATACTTGGAGTGATAGTGCGGGAAAGAATGGAATGCGAAAAGATTGGATAATCAAAGATTATTATACCAAAGAGATCTTAGCAAAGGCAACCAGGTGCAATACTTCATCCTTTTCAGTTTTCATATTTAATAACTAGCCACATAACATAATATTTGAACAACTATTTTTATTTACGCAATTTCGTTGTGCAGCACATGGACGTTGATGAATACCGAAACAAGAAGATTATCCAAGATACCTGATGAAGTTAGACAAGAACTTAATCCTTTCGTGTTTCATAAGCATGCCATTGAAGAAATAGATCATCGGAAGATACCAAAGCTCAATGATGCCATTGCTGAGAGATTTCGCAATGGGGTGACTGTAAGTTTGATACACATATACACAAAACCCTTTCTTCCTCAAGGACTATATAAAAAATTTATTCCAACAATTGGATTATCGTTTACATCATTCTACTGACAACTTTTTTTGTCTGCATGCAATCCAGCCAACGTGGAATGACATGGATGCTAACATGCATGTTAGCAATGTAAAATATATCAAATGGATCTTAGAGGTAATTAACGTAATAATAGTCCCAAGCTATGATAAAATAATGGATATATATTCCAGAAATATGGCAGTGATATCTGGACTTAATTTTTTACTATTAACACTGTTAACAAATTGCTTATGTTTGATTTCTAAATAAAGTCACTAGTAAAATAGTAGTTCAATGTTATAAAATTTGGTTATGATTAAGATAATCCATAAGAAAAATAATGATTTGGTTGGTGCAGAGCGTGCCAAGAGAAGTGTTAGAAATTTACAAAATGACGAGCATTACTTTGGAGTTTCGGCGTGAATGTAGGCATTCAGATGTGTTGGAATCACTGAGTAGTCCATCATCCAGAGTGGTTGGTGATGCTAATAATAATAACAGAAAAGCCGACCTGGAATATATACACCTTCTTCGTCTACAAGACAGTAAAGCGGAGTTGGTCCGAGCAAGAACAGAATGGCTACATAAGCAAAACCAGCAGTGATACAGTTATATATTATGCTTTTCATCTGTTTGCTATTGCATTGTGATAAATAAAAAATAAAAAAATACAAGAACAGCAAGTTTCTAATATTTACAGAAAATTCTGCTGCTACACTTGAGAAAAACTAAAAATAATTTAATAGTGTAATACTTGGTGATGTAGTTTTTCGTGGTTAATTTAATTTGATTTTCTTTATATATATCAAAGCAAAAGTGACACTTTTATCTCCATATCTGTGTATTTTATTTAAAAGATAAAATAAAATTATATTGAAGTTGAATGTACATACAACTTTGCTAAAATTTAAGTAACTCACAAATCTGATGCGGCATGATGTGGTACTGGTATAAGCAACCCCTACTGAAGATGCTCTAAGCAGTTATAAATTTTAGGATTTTAGGGATTTTGAATAGTTTTAAAATAAAATGAGATAAAAATGAAAGTAGAAACTAAAACTTGTCTGCATTAAAAAAACAATAAAACAGTTATATATATATATATATATATATATATATATATATATATATATTTGAGAACACATGTTATTAATAATATTATACGTGATAATAAAGAAAGATTTTTTGAACTCACAGACACATAATTATCTTATAATTACATTAAAATATTTGCAATAACATACGTAAGTATAAACTACATATATCTTACATTATTATTTCAATATTTATATTAAATATTGTCCTAATAATATTTACAACACATACCTATTTACATATATCATTTTTTTTTCTACGATAGTATTTACATTGGTGGAGGAAATAAATTTACAATAGGGTTAGCATAGTTAGTGGGTGGTAAAAAGAAAGTCACTATAATGGGTTCATCTATAATAGTGAGATTTTCTTGGTTGGAAAAGAAAACAAACGAAGACAGTCCTATGCCTTGAAACGTAACTAAATTGAAGACAACATCCACACTCTAATTACCCCCAGGAAAAACTGCAGAGATAACAACTGTAAAGGGACCTGGAATAGCGGGTAGAGCCATCTATCTTGTGATATATTTAATTTTAAATAGAGAAAAATAAGGAGTGAGAACAATTACCAAATAAATACAATCAATTAAATAGAAGTACAAAATTATTTATAAACACATATATACATATATATATATAATATTAGATTTTCATTGTTATAATAAAATTTGAATTATTTTAGTAGTGGCTAGTCAGGATAAATAAGCATAATAATATCAATTATCAAAAGGATATTTCATCTTAAGTCCTTATTCATTTAAATCCCCAAGATTAAACCTCCAACTACAAATAATTCAAACTTTATTTCTTATGGCCATAGAATAACATTTCTCTTTATAATGCAAAAAAAAAATAACAACAAGATGAGCTTCGGATGTTTTAACAAAAACTATATCATAGTTAAATTTAACATAAAAACAATCACGTTAAATAAGTTGAGTATTTTTCATTATTTAGAATTTAATAAAATATAGTTTACGTAAATGAAATATATTAAAGAGTACCAATCAAGTAAATGACAGTGATAATCATTATAAAATAATTAAACAATATAAATTATGAACACCTTATTAATTATTAAGAGTAAAAAAAATCATTGATTAAGCAAGTAAATGATGTTAGAGACACCTCACTAAATAAATACACATAAAATATAACATAACTAAATAAACATAATAACATATAAAATTTTAAAAAGATAAAGTTCTTCTCCCCCTTACCTTAATAGAAAAACAATATTGCTTTTGATAGCTTTAACTGTATACCCAAAATTTTCTTTTCTCTCTTCTTACGATCCTTCTACTAGGGATGACAAAAATACCCGCACCCGCAGATATCTGTGGGTAAAATCCGTTACGGATAATAAATGAGTAGGCTAATTGGGTACTCGCAAATAATGGGGATGGATAATTTTTTACCCTTTTATAAACAGGACGGGGGAGGGTATGATGGTATCCATACTCGCGGGTACCCGTTTAATAACATTTCTTAAATATCATAATTATTCTTGTATCACATAACCCTAAAATTACAATCTTTCATCTTTTTTTTTTCATAGTCGCACAACTCACACATTAGTCATCAAACATTATGAGATTGAATTATTGTAACTTTATGATATGAGACTTTCACTTACTTGTGAAATTGATGTATTTTAAGTTATTGATTATCTTGTTTTTTTTATTATTATTTCAATATAATTAAAGTTAATTACAAGTTCAAAATTAACATTAAATTTTTATTTTTAATATTTTAATGACATTAAATATAAACTTAAAATTATTTGTAATATAATTTTTTTAATTTCTTAAAAAATTTATAAATATCCATGGATATCTACGGATATTCAAGAAATTCATGGATACCCGTTTAACGGATACTCGCGTGGGTATGGAGCAGATATGGGGCCAATTTTCATTCAACGGGGTGGGGACGAGTTTACTATTACCCACCCTCATGGGACCCCATTGTCATCCCTACCTTCTACTTACTCATTTTGCCTTCCACTTTCACTCTTTACTCTTGGTCTCTCCTTGGACCTATTTATAGGCAAGTAAAATTTTATTTTTTTTATTAATTTTTTTTCTCTAGTTACTAATTTAGTTGTAGTGTAACTAATGTAATAGGAGTCATTTATTATCTCTTTTGTTAGAGATAACACCTTATCTCTTCGTACAAGATATTATTCTCTTGTACACCTACAACTTATCAGCTGCAGTTTTTTTTTTTCACTCATAATATATCATTACTTATTTTAACGTCAAATTTTTTTCACAACTTTAATATATATCATAATCATTAAAATAAAAAAAAATTATAATAAAATTGAGTAGTAAATATTTCTATTTTAGTTTGTTGAAAAATAGATAAGGTATCAAAATATGACATTTATATTTATTTATTGAATAAGGTAACTAAAAATTGAAAGAAATATATATTTATATATATGTATTATTTTTAAGAAGAGATAATAAAAATTTATAACATTACATTGAAGTTTCATAATATTATAATTCTTCCCCACTTACAAAAATTTTGTCCTCGAAATTTTTATTGCTTAAAATAAGTAAGGATAATTTTCTTTTATTTTCTCTTCCAATTCTCATGTAGCATCTCCAGTAACATCATTCCAGATGACTTTTACCAGTGAAATCTATTTGCCCCTCAACTGCTTGATTCTCCTGTCTGCGATCTGCACAGGCATTGTTTCAAATGTAAGGTTATCCTTTAAGGCGTTATTACATGAGAAGGATCAGAAATATATTTTCTTAACTGAGACACATGAAAGACATTGTGGAGATTATAAAGAAAAAGAGGGTAAAAAAATTTGGTAAGCTACAGGACCTATTTTTATGAGAATTTGGTAAGGACCAATAAATCGAGGTGTGAGTTTCTTTGATTTCATTACTCTACCAATACCAGTTGTTGGTGTAACTTTCAAAAATACATGATCACCTTCCTAAAATTCAAGAGGTCGTCTTCTCTTATCAGCATAACTTTTCTGTCTACTTTGAGTCATTCTCAACTTTTCCTGAATCATTTTGATTTTCTCCGTGGTTTGTTGTACCATTTCAGGACCCAAGATTAAATTTTCTCCTATTTCAAACTAACATAAATGAGTTCTGTACTTTCTCCCATATAGAGCTTCATAAGGTGTCATACCTATGCTAGAATGGAAATTGTTGTTATAAGTGAATTCAATTAGAGGCAAATATTGATCCCAACTACCCAAATCCTCTAGCACACAAGCTCTCAATAAATCTTCTAAGGATTGTATGGTCCTCTCTAATTGTCCATCTATTTGAGGATGATATGCAGAGCTAAGGCGAAGCTTAGTTCCTAATGCTTGATGTAAACTTCCCCAAAATTTAGAAGTGAATCTAGGATCTCTATCAGATATTATGCTAGATGGTACACCATGCAATCGTACAATCTCCCTTATGTACAGTTCAATTAATTTTCTAGTGAATACCTAATGTTAATAGGTAAGAAGTGAGCAGATTTTGTTAGTCTATCCACGATAATCTATATGGAATCAAACTTATGGATTGTTTGGGGTAAACCAACTACAAAATCCATTACTATACTGTCCCATTTCCATTCAGGTATATCTAAGGGTTGTAACATTCCTACTGGCTTTTGATGTTCTATCTTAGCCTTCTGACAAATCAAACATGTAGCTATATATTGTACTACCTCCTTTTTCATTTTAGGCCACCAAAACATTCTCTTGAGGTCCTGATACATCTTTGTTGCCCCAAGGTGTATGCTCAACTTGCTCTTATGTGTCTCACCTAAAATTATTTTATTAATTTCAGAATCATTAGGCACACATATCCTATCATTAAATCTCAAAACTCTTTTTTGATCTATATTAAACTTTTCACCACCCTTTTGTTCCTAACAATCTCTTTTTCTTCTGAATGAATTCATCAACTACCTGAGCTTTACAAATTTGTCCATGTAAGTCACTAGTAATTCGCATTGCATGCAATTGTATTCTATCCTGACTTATTACAGTTGAAAAACTCATATCTCTAAATTTTTCCATCAAATTTATTTCATGAATCATCAATGAAGAAATATGTAAAGATTTTCTACTTAATGCGTCAACCACAACATTGGCTTTTCCTGGATGATAATGTAATTCAAAATCATAATCTTTCAAAAATTCCATCTACCTTCTTTGTCTCATATTCAGTTCCCTTTGATCAAACAAATACTTTAAACTCTTATGATCACTAAAAACATCAAACTTACCACCATACACATAATGTCTCCATATCTTGAGTGCAAAAACAATGGCAGCTAGTTCTAGATCATGGGTTGGATAATTCTTTTCATGAACTCTCAATTGTCTAGAAGAATATGCTACTACCCTTCTATCTTGCATAACAACACACCCTAATCCCATTTTTGAGGCATCACAAAATATGATAAATTGTCCATTAGAACTGGGTAAGGCAAAGACTGGTGCAGTGGTTAATATTTTCTTAAGCTCTTGAAAACTATTCTCACATTTTTCTGTCCACTCAAAAGGTTGTCCTTTTTTAATGACTTGAGTTAAAGGCATGGATATTTTAGAAAATCCTTCGATGAATATTCTATAATATCTTGCCAAACCCAATAAATTACGGATTTCTGTCACCGTCTTTGGAGGTTCCCATAGCAGAACTACTTCTACTTTAGACGGATCTACAGACACTCCGTCTTTGGAAATCACATGTCCTAAAAA